AGGTGCCTTTATGTCCCAGGACAGCCCCCCCTGTGCAAGCACGGTCTGCTCTGGACACAGGGGCGCGCTGCCAGGATGGGGAGGTCACCACGCAAGGACGGAGGCAGGGAGGGCTAGCGGGGGGGGGGGTGACAGCCAGAGGAACTGCTGAAAACAGGCTGCCTGCGACCTCGGGCGTCTCGGGTCCTGTTTGCTCCTCTCACCCCCGTCGCCCAGCGAGGGCCACCTCAGAGCCCTCTCCACCAATCCTGAGCACCCGCAGGGTGAGGGGCACCACAGGCCCCAAAGGGGACGTAGTGCCCTGGCTGGTGTGGCCCAGTGGACTGAGCACCGGTCTGCGAACTGGAAGGCCGCAGGTTCGATTCCCAGTCAGGAGGGCACGTGCCTGGGTTGCAGGCCGGGTCCCCAGTTGGGGGCGTGCAAGAGGCAACAGATTGATCTCACGCAGGTTTCTCTCCCTCTTTTCTCCTTCTCTTCCCCTCTCTCTAAAAATAAATAAATAAAATCTTAAAAAGCAGAAGAAAAAGGGGACATGGCAAGGAGTGACCGACAACCTGACCCAAATCCAGCCTTTTCTCCCGGCCCGATGCCACCCTCTGTCTCTCTAGTCTGGAGGACGACCCAGCAGGTGTACCCAGGTGTGCCCCAAAAGTTGTGCAAGCTTAGAGCTCTGTCGGACACCCGCATCACAACACCCAGCTGAACATGGGTCACACAGAGGGCAGAGCGGAGCCAGCGCGGTGCAGGGAGGAGAGGGGAGCGGCCCAGCCCCGGGCAGAGGAGGTTCTCTGGGCACAAGAGGGCTCTACACGAGCCGAACCAGGAGCACTGGAAAGGTGCGGGAGCCCTGGCCGGGCGGCTCAGCTGGTTGGAGCGTTGTCCCGGACACCAAAAGGTCGTGGGTTCAATTCCCAGTCAGGGCACATGCGTAGGTTGCAGGTTTGATCCCTGGTTGGGGCCCGTGTGGGAGGCAACCAATCCATGCCTGTCTGTCTGTCTGTCTCTCCTCCACACACTTTCTGTCTCTATAAACAAACATATTTTGGAAGAAAGAAAAGAAAAAAAACAAAAGAAAAGAAGGCTAAAAGAAGCGGGACCACGGGGCCTCCTCCAACCACCTTTGCCTTTTCCCCCGGGAGATGGGTCCGCACCATCTCCTTCCTTGACCTGGAGGTCTTGGCACCTCGCCAAGGGGCCACATACAGCCAGGGCTCCGCCAGTGTCTCCCGAACAAATGTAGGCAGCGCCCCCGCCAGGCCGGGCGGGCGGGACAGCTCCGCGCGGAAGAAGAGAAGCCGCTGCCTTCACTGGGGGTGCTGCGGCTGCCAGACCCAGCCAGGTGGTTCCGGACACGACCCCCACCTCGCCGGCGTGGAAACGGGCCCGCGCGGGCTGTGCCGAGAGGGGGAAGGCAAGCCCCTCTTCCACGCCGCGCCACCAGCACCCACACAGCTCTGTCCACGTGGCCTTGGGCCAGGCAGAGGCCAGCTCAGGGGGCAGCGTTGAAGACCAACGCTGGAGGGACAGCAGGGACCAGCCAAGGAAAGGACTTTGAAAGGGGACTGGCCCTGGACGGGAGGCTCAGCAGGTTGGAGCGCCGTCCAGTACACCAGGAGGCTGCAGGTTCAAGTCCCAGTCAGCGCACGTGCCTGGGATGCAGGTTTGGGTTTGATCCCTGGTTGGGTGTGTGGGAGAGGCAACTGACTGATGTTTCTTTCTCACGTCAATGTTTCTCTCTCTGTCTCTCACTTCCTCTCTTCAATAAACATCCTCGGTGAGATTTAAAAAAAAAAAAGCGGCCTGTACAGAGGGGGAGGGCGGGGGGGGGCGGCTTCACCAGGGGCTTCTCAGAGCAGCCATGACCCCGGATGCCCCTGGGGTCAGAGGTCACATGGCTGATCCCTGCCTGGACCGTGTTCTCCCAGCTCAATGGGGTTTTGTTTGGTTGCAGGGCCCAGGCCTGCGGATTTATTTCAACCTGGCTTGGAAACACTGTGTCGGTCCACAACCTCCCAGGCAGGCACTTCTGGTCAGAGGGAAATTAGCAGCTCCCTTTAATTGCCCAAATAAGGGGACCCAGTAACACGTTCAGGAGTGGGAGGGGCAGGTTTTGTTTCTTCCCTCATGGCAGGGCTGGGAGGCTCGGGGGGGCCCCCCAGCTCACCCCCTCAGCTGTCACCTCCACGCAGCGCCTCTCCAGCCCCTGCCACAGGGGACCCCGAGGCCCTGGAACACCAGACCGCCCAGCTTGCCACGCAGCGGAACCCGAATTCCACACACAGCTTTGAGGCGTCTCTTTCAAACCCACGTTACTTCCCCTCAAGGGCTCCATCTGCTCTGCTTACCCTACGGCCCCACCAGTCCTCCTGCCTGGCCTGGCCACAAGTGGGGCGCCCCCTCCGGGTGGCCCCGGGACTCTGATGGACAGCCGTGAGGGTTCCACAGGAAGGACGCCCCACTTCCAGGGGCTTGCTTTGAACCACAGACACAGCCCGCTATCTCCAGGCTTCCAGACCCTGGGGGGGCGGGGCAGGGGCTCGGATGAGCATTCCCTAGGGGAGGGAAGGTGGCAGGGAAGGGGGTGTGGGCTCTAGTTCCTGGCCTCGCTCCCTGTTCTGTGAGGAAGGGGCCTGGGGGCCAGTGGCCCATGGTGACCATGGGCCTGCCCGGATGGGCAGGCTGCCAGGAACATCTAACGAGCCCCCAGAGATGAGGCAGGAAGCAGCCTCCGGCTGAGCTGGGAAGGTGAGCCTGCTTGGTCACCAGGACATTCCCCTCTGGGGCACCCAGCCTGCCAGGAGAGCCTGCACCGAGACCAAAGGGCAGGGGCTACCCGGGCCGGGGAGGAAGCCCAGGGCAGCTCAGGGAAGCGTGGACTTGAGCTCCGCTCCCCCGCTCCAGTGCCCGGGCGCTGCCAGGCTAGGCCAGGGCACTGGAGGAACCGGAAAAAGACACCCCTCTGGGCAGACCCAGCCTCGAGAAAAGAAGCAGCGGAGGATCTTCTCCTCTCCAGGATCCACGACCTGGAGAACAGAGTGTGGGCTGTGTTTCCAGCCCCGAGTGGCCCCCAAACCTGGGTCACGGGGGAACCCAAGCGTGTCGGTCCTGTGGGGGTGAGGACTGGCAGATGTGAATTTTGGAATGACGTAGAACCCCAGCCTACAGCACCCATGGACATGAACTGGGGGGGGGGGTGGACAACAGGTGTGTGGGCTCGGATTTGAGGAAGTGGGCCGGGTCTCGGGGCTGCGTGTGTGGGTGATAACCACAAAGTATTATTCTAGGTGCTGTCAGAAAGTAGGTCCTCTCGGTTCCTCCTCGGGGCTCCCTCATCGCGTCACGCTGGGGAGCAGTCCCCACCCAGTGCTCACATCTGACATGCCCCCGGCAGTAGCCCAGCTTTTCTGGGGGGGGCGGCCGTCCGTGGAGACCCCAGAGCATTTGTCTCCACCTCAGGTCACGCTCTCTCAAAGCTGAGAGGGTTTCAGGGCACCAGGGAGAGCAGTGGTCACAGCAGGAAGACAGCGAAGCAGCAGGCCGGGGTCTGGATGCGCCTGCTTACCCTCTCTGACCGCGCCGCAGCACCCAGGCACCATGGTCAAAGCTACACACCAGCTCCGCCGCCCGCCAGGCAGAACTGCCCCCGTGATCTCGGGGGATGACAGCTACGCTCCCTGAGTGGTTTCTATGTACCAAGCCCGGTTCTTTTCAAACACAAACTGGACGTGCTCCTCACAACCTCCAGGCAGGTGCTCACAGTGCCCCTATTTTACAGATGAGGAAACCAGGCCCCTGAGAGGACCGGCAGCTCACTCCAGGTCACGTGGGTACTCAGGGGCTGAGGCCAGACTGGAGCGGGGCCACCTCCTCAGCACTAACCGGGCTGTGTTTCGGAAAGGGTTACTCCGGGCCAGGCGGTTAATGGAAGTGCTGATTCTGCTACTCTGTCCCTTTGTAAACTAGAACGCTTTTCGGGGTGGGGACGCTAAGAGAAGGAAGTCCGGTACAGTTTCAGGCTTGTACCCTCTAACTCCTAAGCCCCTTTTTCTAACTCGCACAGTGTGACAACCAGGCGTGTGTTGGAGAATCAGCATCCCCTGGGCACACACAGACGTGTTATGTCCACGTAACACACCTAGTTGCACGAACTCTCTGAGACCCGCCTGCAAGGGACCCGTGCCTGGGCCCATTCTGCAGATGAGCAAACTGGGGCTCAGGGAGAAGGGGCTTACTTGCCCAGTAGTAGAAATAGGCTTGGCATCCAGTCCCTCAAATTTCAGAGAGGAATTGGAGAAGCAACCGGGAAAAAGCGGGGTAAGGAGAGGGGAGAGCAGAAGTCAGCGGGTGGGCTACAGAAGCAGAGTTGAGCCTAGGAGGGGGACCTGGCCCGTGAGGATGGTCCTTCTTGGGTGGCTCGAGGACCATCCTGGCTTCCAGGGCCTGGGAATCTCTGCGCCCAGACTGCCCCCAGCCCTCGTTTGGTAGCTCTCCTCGGCCCTGGGGGGGATCCCGCCGTGTCTACTGGGGTGACGGATGGGGCGCCGTCCTGCGGCGGCTCCCGAGTGACTCGCCGGAATACCAAACCCCAGTGTTTACGGGCAGCAAGCACGGCCCCCTCCACCCGCGCTGCCCTGGGGGGCGGCACCGCGCCTGGCTCTGGTCAGCATCAAAGACAAACAGATGCGCAGGCGGAGGGGCGAGGCGCGGCGAGGGGGGGGAACCACCACCGGCCACCACCGAAAGGGCGCCCACAAGGGGCGACAGAGCAGGCGAGGGCCCCCTCCCCTAGCATTAAAAGAATGGAAGAAAGGGGCCCGCGGCCCCGCAGCTCCGCTCTCCCGCTCTCGCCTGGCGCAGCCCTTTGAAAGGAGGAGGGGGTCTCAGGCAACCCCCCCGCAACTCCGAAGGGCCCCCTGCCCCCTTTGTCACGGCAGCGTCCGAACCGGGCACTTGGCCCGCCCTCCCCGGCCCGCGCCCCCGCGGGGTCGTCCCGCACTCACCCAGCGGCAGGCTGATCCGAGGGACCAGCGCCCGAGCGCCCGGCGGCGGCGGCAGCAGCAGCAGCAGCAGCAGTGGCGGCAGCAGCGACTGGGTCCCCGGGGCCATCGCGGCGCGCGGGGCTCGGACAGCGGCGGCGTCCTGCGGGCTCCGGCTCAGGTGGCTCCCCTGCACTGGCGGACCTGGGGGTTGGGGGACGGGTCACGTGGCCGCCGCGAACGCGCCCCCTCGGCCCCCCGCAGCGCAGCGCGGTCCCGCCGACCCAGCTCCGAGGAGGCTCGCGGGGCACAGAGGGCGGCGCCGGAGGAGGAAGTGGGCGAGCGCCGAGCCTCTCCCAAGCTCCTTCTCCCTGCCCTGCCCTACCTTCCCCCTTCCTCCTTCCTGCTCGCCAGCTGGGTGCGAGCCCGGAGGTGTCGGGGGTCCTCCAGGCGCCGGGAGAGAGCGCAGCAGCGCACAGCCGAGCCCTAGGTCCCCGCCCCCACCGTCAGACCCTCCCACCGCAGCCCCGGCCCCCTTCCGGCCGCTCCGCGACCCTCTGCAAACTGCAGCCGGAGGTTTGGGGAAACGTGTGGGTCTCTCCGCTGTGCGCCTGGTGAGGGTCTGGCCTGGGTCTTGACCCTTTATCCCAGCGCCCCCCCCCCCAGCTAATGCGCCTGGCACCCACTTGTCCGTGACCACACGAACTGTGCCGAGCTCCAAGCGGACGCTGGGCTGGTGGCTTCGGAGTCTAATTTCTGCACGGGTCAGCCCACCTTGGGTCCTGGCTGCGTTCCCTGCAGGCCCACCCCTTAGTCCGGTACCCTGAGGGGCGTCTACGCTTAGAATTCTGTGCACGCGAAGCCAAGCCTCGGACAGGGGGGCGGGGGGGGGGGCGCTGCAGGATTAGCTTACGTAGAATAATAGGATTCGTACGCAGGAGAGGAGGTGAGACCTTCCCCACGGCCTGCGCGTGGCCAGGCACGAGACAGCACCGTTCTCCCTCAAGATGGAGGGAGCCCAGAGGCTCCCACTCAGAATCAGGGCCCAGCCTCCCTCACCACCCTGCCCCCTGACGTCCCCAAGGATGGAGCTCCGTCCTGCTTACAGCACGGGTTTCAAACTGCAACCTGCAGCAGCCCTCCGTAGATCCTGAAATCAATGCCCCCTTTCTGGCATTTAAGAAAGAAGTAGAAACGGCGGAAAGGAAGCTGTGGGAAACACGTTCCAACTTTTCCCAAGAGGGCAGGGGACCACAGGGAAATGTAATTGTTCCTGCGGTTCGAGGCCGAAGGAGTTTCAGAACCCGGCTCGTCATTTCCACCGCAGGGGGGAACGGTTGCTCCCGGAATGAGCGGCGGTCCTGGGAAAGCCCGCCTGCCCCCGCGCCAAAATCAGCTCCTCAGCGCCATCACCTTGTGCTCTCGCCCGCCCCGCCCCCCAACCCAGGCCCGCCGCATCCCCTCCAACAGGGCGGCAGCCAGGGTGGGCACAGTGCTCACGTGGTCCCAGGTTCCCTCTCTGGCAGCCCAGCTTCCCCAGGTCCCACGACTCCTGTGCCCCTGCGCCAGCCTGACACCCTTCTGTGGGCAAGGGCGAGGCTCGCAGCGCCCGTTTTAAAGGGTCTCCCGAGACAAAAGAAAGAAAAATAAAAACAGAGGGGCTCCCAGCACTGGACACAGCATTGCACGTGGGACGGGGGTGGCGCCAAAGCACCCCAGTTCTAGCCTCGCCCAGGCCTTGGGTACCACTTTTATTGGCGGCGTCCATCCATCTTCAGCCAAGGGTGCCTATGCTTCTGTCTGCAGCCAGGACCTCTGCCCTGAGTTCCAAGTGGCCTCAGCATTTCCACAGGCCGTCTGGTCTGCCAGCCATCCAGCACGTCCCAGACCGAGGTCCTGGCCTCTCCCACCTGTGCAAGCCTCTTCCCGTCCCATTCGGCCGCGAGTCCCCCTCAAAGCTGCTCAGGTTAAAAACCTTCCTCCTCCTTGCTTTTCCACATCCAGCCCATGAGCAAATCCATAAGCCGAGGATCCTCACCATCGTCCTCTTCCTCATGGTTAGGGCAAGGTCTCCCTGCTTCCACCTCTGTGGCACTGAAATTGGGGCTCAACTCGGCAGCCCACGCATGGGGCTCAGAGACAGCTGGGTCACAGCACTCGGCCACCCAGGCTCCCTTAGCCGAAAAGCCCAAGACCTCAAGGAGGTTGCAAGGCACAGATGTCATCCTCACCCCAGCGGCCACTGCCCTTCCCGCTCTCTCTCCCGCAGGATGACTCAAAAGTACTGCACCGGGACATTTGCCCTGGCTGAGACTCCCGAGGCCCGGAGCCTTCCTCCCAGAGTCCTTTGCTTCCTCCAAATCCTTGCTCAGACGTTACTTTCCTGAAGAACCAGAACTTCCCCCAATATTCCCCTCCCCCCGAGAGTTTTCTCCCCGCAAAGTACTCATCCCTTTCTAACATAATATTTGATTTGCTTATTTGTGGTGGTTTTTGCTTGCTTGTCTGAACTTCCCACCTGCCCCTCCATCCCCAAAATGGAGGTGGGCAGGGGATTCTGCGTATCTGCCTGACAGTTAGCCCAGGCCTCTAGGACAGTGCCTGGCGTGGGGCAGGCCCTCAGGAGATACTGAGGATGGTTGGATGGATGCAACCTGGGGATCATGCGATGCTACGGGCTCATGTCCACCAACAACCTGTGTTACCTTTGGATATCACCTTCAGTCCAATACTGCGTTCCCCCATGGCCTGACCGGTGTGGCTCAGTGGGGTGGGCGTCACTCTGCAAAGTGAAAGATCACAAGTTCAGCCCTGGCTGGTGGAGCTCAGTGGCTTGAGCGCAGCCCTGTGAACCAAATGGTCGAGGTTCGATTCCCAGTCAGGGCACATGCCTGGGTTGCAGGCCAGTTCCCAGCAGGGGATGCACGATATTTACATTGATATTTCTCTCCCTTTCTCCTTCCCTTCCCTTCTAAAGAGAAATGAATAAAGTCTTAAAAAAAGAAAGAAAGATCACAAGTTCAAATCCCACTCAGGGAACATGCCCAGGTTATGGACCAGTCCAGATTGGGGGGGGGGTGCGTGTGAGAGGCCTCGGATGGATATTTCTCTCTCGCATCAATGTGTCTCTCCCTTTCTTCCTCCCTTCCCCCCTCTCTAAAAATAAGGAAATAAAATCTTTAAATCAAAAAGAGTTCCCCTCAAACCCGAAATTACGCCATTCTCCTTTTCACCCCGAGCACGGCACTTCCTACTGACATCTTTGAAATCTGTTGGTTCTGGTTCAACTTTCGCCCTGTTAAGGTCATTCTGCGCGTTGATTCTATGATGCATTTTGCTTCTCCTCCCAGTTTCGAGTCATCTGTAAATTTGATAAGCATTCCTAATGCCTTTAGTCAAATCACTGGTGAAGGTGCTAGGTGCGAACACCTACCACCCAGTTCTAAATATCACTGTTTAATAAAAGGTTCCAGGATTCTGGGAAAATGAAAAAGAAAGTGTAAGGTGAGCCTGGGACTTTTCGTTGAGCCAGAACACAAGGGAGGGGTTAAAGATTAATAGGATCGTTGCCAAACGACAAAGAGCCAGCTCGATGATAAACTTGAGACAAGCTGAGCATCACAAAGGGTAATGAGCCCTGGCTGATGTTGCTGAGTGGATTGAGCATCAGCCTACAAACCAAAGGGTCGCAGGTTTGATTCCCAGTCAGGGCACATGTCTGGGTTGCAGGCGAGGTCCCCAGTAGGGGGCATGCGAGAAGCAACCACACATGGATGTTTCTCTCCCTCTTTCTCCCTCCCTTCCCCTCTCTAAAAAGAAATAAAATCTTCCAAAAAAAGCATCATGAAATAATGGATTCTAATGCATGAAATGAAAAGCAATCCATCCATCCACAGTGACGTTCAGAGAAACACAGGACGAGAAGGGACAGGAAGGAAGCGCCCTGCCTGGTACAGAGAAGTGTGAGCAGATAAATATGGAATAAAATGATAGACCTGGAAAACCTAGCCTCCAGCCGGAATGACCGCTGGGTGCCCGACCACCGGCAGGAAGGCGGTTGGGAGCCTGCGTGTTAACGACGTCTCCGAGTCAGCCCCACAGGTGACTCTGTGCCTCTGAGCTGGCTCTGGCTGCGTCACCAGCATTGAGAGGAGCAGCGCTAGCGATGGGACTTCCAGACAACATTTCCGCCCTGACGTGATGCAACGCACAGCCAGATGCATCCAGCATCCTGCTGACGGCTGGCTGGCATGCTTGGTAAAGTCCCCTCTGATGAAAGGCAGGAAAGCCGGGGACTGTGGAAGGTTAAGGAGCTAAAATGAGCTGAGGATCAAAGGCAACATGTGAACCCCCCATGCACCGGGGGGGGGGGGAGAAGAGGAGGTGCGAGCAGCTGGGGGGGGCGTTCGCCCACCCCAGGTATCAAAGGCTATTGCGGTGATGCTGTGCATGTCTTAGGTATGGTGGTGGCGTGCGGTGGCAGGAGAACATCCCTGTCCTTCGAAGATAGATGCCTGCTGAAGTGTCAGGATGTCAGCAAACTTGCTTTCAAATGATTCAGCAAAAACCTGTGTGCATGAGCATGCATGTGTGTGTGTGTGTGTGTGTGTATTAAGAGTGTGAGTGTGTCTGTGGCAAAGTTTTAACAATTGGTAAATACAGAAAAGCTACGGGTACTTTCTAACTCTGGGGGAGGGAGGAATTGGGTGATACAGGGCCCAAAACAGTCCAATGCCTTGTCCAAGAGACTTCCATCAAGCTTAAGACTGACCCATATCCACCCTGGCCAAGTAGCTGAGTCGGTCGAAACAGCGCCCCAATCTGCCAAGGTTGTGGGTTTGATTCCCAGTCAGGGCACGTTCAAGAATCCACCAATGAATGCATCAGTAAGTAGAACAGCAATTCAATGGTTCTCATTCTCTCTCTCTCTCTCTGCCCCTACACTTCCTCTCTCTCTCTCTCTCTCAAAGCAACAAGTGAAAAAAATTTTTAAATGATCAACACCCTTTGCAGGTGGAGCAGCTGGCGAGGTGGGCTTCCCCTGCTCTCGTCTGCCTCCGTTCCTCCATGTTTCCCATAAATCTGATGAAAAAGTTGCAAGAGATCTCGTTGCAACCAGGGAGCTGGCTGTAGCCCTTCCTCTGTCCTGTGCCTTCGGCTGTCACCTAGAACAGGGCCGGATGAGGGACACCGGCTAGTGCCCGCATCTGTGCAGCGGGTAGGTCGTGAGGGGGCATTGAGGCTGCCTTGCCCTGTGTTGTGGCAACACCTGGATTGTGTGTCTGCCGGGCTCACCCCGGAGGAGCAGAGGCAGGGGCTGCTGCAGCCTCGCTGGTGGGTAATTACATCCCGCTCACAGCCGCTCTGATGCGCTGACCATGCCCCGTGCCAAGTGGGTGACAAGCCTCTCCAGGACAGTGACAGGTCTTCCGTCTTCCAAAGCCCCACTGCCAAGGCCAGGGGGCAGACCAGGGAACTTGAGGGACGGTGAGAACCTTCTGCACCCTGATCTGGGTATTGGTTTCCCCAACTGTGTGCAAATGTGAAAATATTCCAAGCTGTATGCTTCAGATGTCTGCATTTTCCTGGGTCTACGTGTGTACTTTATACCTATTATGATGGGGAAAAAAACCATACAAAGAAGCTAAAAGGTACCAAAAAAAAAAGTCACCAGTAGGATTAGGTGGAAGGTTAAAAAACAGAAGAGCCAGAGAAGGAGGGAGAGAAGGAAGAGGCACAAAGAGAAAACGAAAGGGAAGTGTGGCCATAAATATGAGGCGGACGGAAACCTGCATCCGCCGCCTCTCTGACCAGCTCAGCACAAAGGGACAGGCAGTGGCCGCGGGCAACGGCCGAGGGCTGGCAGCGGGGTGGTCAGTCCAGGCCGTCGTGAGCCGCGCCAGCAATCAATACTCACTAATCATCTCTAAGGACAGCCCCTGCCCAGATGCGGGCTGGCCACGGTCTGGGGCGCCGATGGCCGGGCCTGCCTGCTCTTATCCCACTGGGGGAACCCGGCCCTGCCGCTCTCACAGGGCTGCTCTGGGAGCCAGTGCTTTGTCTCCTGGCCGTGGGGGAGGGGCCTCCTGCCAAGCCCGGTGGAGCTTGAACCCAAATGTCCCGCCTGCCCCCTCCTGAAGTAGCACTGCTCCTCCTCATTCCCGGGTTCCGGCTGGCAGACTGCCCGGCAAGCCTCGCAGACATGCACTGGCCCCGGCCCAGCTCCCCGGGGCCGTGGCCCCCCGCCACCGTGCCCCCGTAGCCCCGAGCCCTCCCTTATGCCAACTTGCAGCTGCAGCTCCCCGCCCTGCCCTGGCCGGGCGCCCCACCCCCACCCCGGTGTTTCCTCCCTGGGGTGGGGGGGCCGGGCATCAATCTGTGCTGCTGAGGAAGCGACAGCCCCTGGCACGCCCTGTGTGTGCTTTTAAACCAGCCAGTGACTTCCAGACCCTGGTGGCAGAGCGCCTCCTGGGGCAGTGGCCTCCACAGCAGAGGGCATTCCCAGGGGCGACGGTGAGAACCTTCTGGACTGACACGGCCTCTGGTCGCAGGAGCCGCATTCGCCAGCTCTGGCCATAAGTGCGCCTGCCCTCATCCCAGGTCCCCAAACTCTATTCGCCTCCAGAGTGGCCCTGGGACTTCCCGTGCTGGTTTACACGCAGGAGCAGAATCTCAGCATCACTGTCGTCACTTTGTGGACTGGGGGCAAGCCACACCACCTGTCTGGACCGCAGCTTCCTCGTCCGTGACTTGGGACCAGACAGACTCCAGGGCGGACGGGGGAGGCGATATGAGTGCCCATAAAGGGACTAGCACATGGCTCTGGGGACAAAGCTGATGTGCTCATGCTGGTGACCGACAACTCAACCACGTGGGCCCCCGACCCCGAGGACCCCCTTCTGGGCTTTCCCTCAAACCAAGTGCTGAGGCTGCAACTCCCTCACCGGGAGAAGGAACCAGCCAGCCTGGCCCCAGCCCGGGTGCGCCTGCCGTGGGCCTGTCGGGGCCTGAGCCGGCCGCTCCCTGGGAGGGGATCGCCAGCGCCCAGGGGGCCGTGGTGCAACCAGCAGGGCTCAACCTGTCCCTGCCCCGACAGGGCAGGACACGCAGTTGCTCCTGTCACTCCCCTACGCCCCACACAAGCTCAGGAGCCGCTGTCTGCCCTGGAGCCTGCTCACCTGGGGGCCTCAAGGGCCTGGGTACCTGGCCGGGGTGACACTGGGCACAATGACTGTGTAGTGATGCTCTTGCCCCTGAAACCACTACAGCCAGGCACTGTGGGGAGGTGGATGTTCTCGGCCAGGTGGGGGTGGGGAGCAAACGGTGGAAGGGGCTGGGAGGAGGCTCTAGCTTCCAGGTGGGCTCAGCAGACCTGAGGCCCCTCCGGCTCTAAGATCCTGAGAAATCAGGCATCTGCATTCCCATTTTCCCACCAAGTTTTTCCTCCTTAATTCCCTCTCTGAGCCCTAGGCCACTGCCCCAAGGAGGAAAGAAGGCCTGGGCCAGGGCCCTTCCCCCACCTTCCTTTCCAGACTCCCAAGGTTCTCCTCTCAGCTCCTCTGACCTCTGGAGCTTCCCAGCCACCTCCGGCCTCTGGTGGCCGCCACTGCCCCAGACAGAGCCTCGCTCTGGGTTCCGGCTCTGCCTGCACAGGGTGGGCTGAGCAGGTGAACCAGCGGGGTGATGGGGAGGTTGTTCCATTGACTTCCTGCCCCTCCAAGGACTGCACCAGCCGCCTGCTTTGCCACTGTGTGTGGCAGGGCGCCCACCTGCCACCCTAAA